TTTGTACTCGTATGACCGAACACTCCATATGCATTCATTTTCTCTATAAAGATCAATTAGGCTCTATACTAGAGAATGACTCCAAACGAGAGTGATGTTAGTCGACATTTGGTGTGCCGGATCAGGGTACACAATCAACCTTTATAGATCACAGCTAGACAGCTATCTACTAACTAAGAATTTAAAAGCAAAGAATAGTCCACAAAAATTCATATCTTTATAGAAAACGTTTCGGAGACCAGCTCCATCGTCAGTTCGTAGAATCTGGAATCACAAATCAGAAGTCACAAATTAATACATTGAAACCATAGAACGAATTGAATTTCTTTAATTAATTAATTAAGATTTTTATTTTGATTTACATTTTTAATTTAATTCAAATTCTTAGTTAATTTGCGATTTAAGCATACAAGTGACATTAATTCTTTAATAGCTATCTACTAAGTGCCGCGATTTTGTTGCATGAGGCATGGCCCCTGTCAATCGCTAGCTCGTCAATCGGTCAAGAAGCGCATGCAGAGGCTGCAAAGCGCCTCTTCATGCGCTTTGAGGCACTTGACTCTCGTGTGTTGCCCCTAGTGTAAACGGGCCTTAAGACGCGTGAACAAGGCACGCATGTCTTCCAGATGCTGTTCATCGTCGTCTGATGCTATCAGGATGTCGTCGATGTAGTTGAAGAAGGTGACTGAATGGAAACCTCCTTCGCTTGTTGGCGCGTGAAATGTTTGACTGGCAGAACAGAGTCCGAAGTTCATCTTGAGGAATTCGTAAGAACCAAACGGTGTTGCTACTGTAGTTATTGGAATGCCATCGGGCTGAATTGGTACCTGTATGAAGGCAGATTTAAAGTCTATGCGCGCGAACACTTTTTTACCGTTGAGTTCAGCTGTAAAATCTGTAAGGAAAGGTAAGGAGTAGGTGTCTTTTTAGTTTTATGTAGTGAGATCCGCTACAGAATGACGAGCTACGAAACGGAACTTCCAAGTCAGTTGCAAAAAACGACGCACGACACGCTATTTTTTTGTCTGTTGCAAATGGTAAGCCTCGAATGGCTATTTTTTGTCTGTTGCAATGGACGATCCAGTCCCGATAGGATAGGATTGCATACTTACTAGTGGTTACAAAAATGAAACTGGAAAAACTTCGATATTGTTGACTTTATTTATTGAAAAATTATAAATTGCAATAATAATATTTCGCACATACAATTTTTTTTTCAATGCGTTTATTTTGAACAACTTAAGGAAATTGAACTGTTTTATAAATTTTCAAAATGAAATGAAATTGAAGGATTCAAACCTAGCAAATATTACGAGACAATGCTATTAACGACGAGAAATTTTTTCTATTACGTTCAGTTGAGCTTAATTAGATTAGTCAGTAGATATAAGACAAAAAACTATTTACCTTCACAAACTTCTCAATGGGAAACTAGCGCAACTGTTCGAAATATTGCAAACTGTTTATAATGAAAAAATTATATCTCAAGAGTCGGTTTATCATTTAGCCAATTTGTATTTTTCGATTAAAAATGTTTTTAGGCAGCTCATACACAGAACAAGCAATGAGTTTCACTTGAGCGCAGGTTATCATATTTTAATTTGACAAGATGAGAAAAATGAAAGCTTGAATGAATAGCAGCATCAAGCATGTAAATATTGTACCAATTGCTTCGAAAATATAGTCAGCCTTGTAGAAAGGTGTGGAATAATAAATAAGATGAACTACAAGCTTCCCGACGACGAACCTCTTGTAAAATCTGGTCATGCGTAAACGCTTGTAAACAAATTAATAATCTTTGAACTGTTACTCATTTTAAAAGACAAGCGATTTATGTTATGAATTTTCGAATAATATATTACAGACACAATAAAATATCTTGAATGTAATTAAGATTTAAAAGAAGGTTCTCACATAAGATGTAAACATAGATCCTCCAGAAGAAGTCACAAAATCCAGTAAACCGACAATTAAATGACAGGCAAGTTAATGATAGTCGTTATCATAATAGTGATTCTAAATTAAACGGAAACATTTGGTCTAAAGCTTCTATAAGTGACGTTTTGTACACCAGCACAAATATTTTAATTGAATATGTTCAAATAATTGAAGCCATCTATGCATAATGAGTTAAAATAAAACAGTGATGTCACTAGCAAATTCTATAAGCAATCTGAAAATATTGTTCAGAAGATATTTTTATGGGTATTATGATCGTTTGCCCATATTTCATTGTGCGTACAGGGTGGGGCAGAACCGATTGAGCAGTTTTGACTTTTGAGGCGAAATAAAGAGTAATGGAGGTACCTATATAAGAAAGTTTCTTTTTCTCGAGGTTGGCATAACATACCATTTAAAATACTTATGTTTTAAAAACAATATCAGGAAGATGGTGGCCGTTAGCTGCAACACACTGTTGGAGTCGTTTTCGGAAGCTTCCTACAGCACGTTCCACATATGGCGAGGTATGGCCATAACCTCTGCAATAATCCGTTCCCTTAGCTGTCTGTGGTAGGGTGTGAGGGCGACTTCTGAACGCCCTTTCTTTTAGATGTCCTCCAAAGAAAGAAATCGCAAATGCTCAAATCAGGTGACCTCGCAAGCCACTGTAAATCACCCCTCAGAGACACCAGACGTCCGGGAAACATGCGTCCCAAAACATTGAGTGACATTCGGGCTGTGTGAGATGTAACCCCATCCTGCTGGAACCACACGTCTCCAAATGCTTCATTTTGTTTTCCATCCAGGGCTGCAAGAAATTTTGCAACATTGCAGCATACCCCTCAGAGACACCAGACGTCCGGGAAACATGCGTCCCAAAACATTGAGTGACATTCGGGCTGTGTGAGCTGTAACCCCATCCTGCTGGAACCACACGTCTCCAAATGCTTCATTTTGTTTTCCATCCAGGGCTGCAAGAAATTTTGCAACATTGCAGCATTGCCTTTGTAATTCACTGTCACGGTTACTCCCTCCTACTCAATGAAGTATGGGCCTATCGCACCAAATTGTGAGATGGCAGACCAGACCGTTAGTTTGGGAGAATGTAGTGGTCTTTGATGGATAATTTGTGGGTTATCTTCAGCCCAGTAACGAAAATTTTTCTTATTTACAGTCCCACAGAAGTGAAAATGCGCCTTATCGACTACTGAAGATGGCTGTGTCGGGAGCAATCTGTTCATGCATGGTCCCACACAGATTTCGGAGGCTGGCAAAGTCTGCTTCGTTCAATTGTTGGGCCATCATCATTTTGTAGGGATGGAAATGCAAATCCCTATGCAGAGATTCCCAAAACAACGGCATGCCTTCGTGCAGAACGTCTTGGCGAGTTGATGACTGCAGCTTTCACCCTCTCGACATTTTCTGGAGTTCTGATGGGCCTGTGTCGGCCATGTGTATCTCTTCTTAGTGTGCTACCAGTTGCTTCCAACTGCCTAACCCAGGACCAAATTGTGTTCGCCTGAGGAAGAGCATCATTGCGTGGAATACTGTATTGAACCGCCGCCGAAAAGCTCTTTGCGTTGCAATCACGGATTGATTGTTCTCGAAATATGCGCGTACGGCAAAGCTAAGAGGCTGTCCTGACCACACCATGTTGGCTACTGAAATGGGAATACCGGAACCGGAAGGCTGAAAAAAAGACCCGCAAGCCCATCCCTTTGCTTCCCTGCGAGCACTGACTGCTCTAAACTGCTCAATCGGTTCTGCCCCATGCACCCTGTATAATAAATTACAGACATATTTTGCCACTTATAGGCCGCTCATTAGGCAGCACCTTAAAGTTACGTACTAAGTTACGTAGAGCGATTGTGTATTCATTTTAGATCGTGTATTCATTTTAGTTGATATAAGAGCTTAGCCGCATCACCTAATCCATCTTATCATATATTGTGTACCGTTGATGTGCCAGACACGTTTTTGTGTAAAAAGAAATGAGTGAAAATCCAGCAAACCTTAGGCCATATTAGGCCTAGTTGATGCATTCGTCGAGCGTGACTTTTTATGTACATGTATAGAAAGCATTTAAAGGTTAGTCTTCATAGCTGCTCAACATTCATGCCATTATCTATGATGCTTTTTTGAATGCATAAGTTTAATTAAATCCAATTTCTTTATTAAATAATAATTTCACTCCTTTATTTCAGGATTATGAGTGACAGCTTTGAAATTAGTCTAAGACTTGTGATGATTTCTAAATTAATATCATGGCTCTAACTCTAATGTAATTAGCTTGCCTATAAAAAGAAACGCCGATCAGTACTTCATTTTAGCACTCGGAACCCACCCAATCGATGGCCGGGTTCAACAATGCGGGGATGAAGATGGCTTTGTATTGTTTTTTTGATTGAATGTGTCCCTAGCAACGAGAACCAATTTAATGCCAAATCACTGCTTTGTAAACCGTATGCCAATTTCAGGTCCGTTAATGAAATAACTAGTGGACTATGTTCATTTTCAGCACTCAGCACGACCTTCAGTTGCAGATGTAAATCAAGGATAGAATAGTGCAAGTTTGTATGGGGAATTATAATATGATCATAACAATATTGCATCATCATTAAGAAATACAATGAATTGTTTAGGAAGCAATGTCTCCTCAATTTGCTTATAAATGATAAAAATTCCCATTATATATTCATAAAATCCTGATCCATATTAATTTACCATTGCGCTGTTTTTTTCCTTTGTTGATAAAAATGTATAAAGGGGATACTGCAAAGCAAAAAAAAAAAAAAAGAATTGTAAAATCGATTCCAGCTCTTCGCATCAAATAACGAGTTTTTCCACGCCTGATAATCACTATTTTAAAAGCAAACATTTCAATAAAAAATGAACAATATCATCCCTTGCCAGTCGCAGACGTCACTAAATAAAACCAGTTTTCTCCATGGACGACTCCAAGCAGCTGCGGAAAAAGTGGACATGGAAATCCCCAGCTGCATTGACAAGGTAATATGCTTGTATTCATTTTAGCTGCGGCCTTTATATTCCTTGACAGAGCTTAATTACTGCGCACACACACGCCATCGCTGACCAAGGTAAGATGGCTGGTGCTAGCGGGCAGTTATTAAATGTTTGTGGATTATTTACTTGACAACTAATGAACTTTAAGGGCTAAATTTGAGGCTCTCACCTCCACTTCGTGCAATTTTTGATCTACACTGATCAGAAGTTCCTAATCAATAATTGATTAATCCCAATCAGGATTAATTAGACCTCTATTTTAGTTAGATGCTGACATTTCTTAAGTTAGCTGATATTTGTTTAAATGGAATTCTTTAAAAATGTATTTCTTATTATTACTGAATAAAATTTTGCGTAATCAGAAAAAATCCTTCGCTTGCTCTAATCGCAAATTCACTAGAAACTTATAAGCAAAGAAAATTCCACATAAATTCGTATTCTATCTTTATTAAAAACCTTTCGGAGTCCAGCTCCATCGTTAGTTCGGAAATTCTAGAACACAGGTTAATTATTATAGCACAGGCAAGAAGAATTTTCGAACTGACGATGGAGCTGGGCTCCGAAACGTTTTCGTTAAGGGGGAGGTATACCCTAAAATTTTTATCGTCACTGACGATAAATTCTTCTCCAGTCTATGGTTCCATTCCATAGAAATTACTTCTGTTCCATGCTGCTACAATCATCCATGTGTAATTTAATTATCAAACTCGTCTTCTTTCTCCTCATAGGTTGATTCACAACTTGCATTGGGGCGCAAGTATCAGCTCGAACAAAAATGAAGGTATTTTTTTGCAAATAAATTGTTTCAGATATTAAACGCTCGCGTTATGTGTTTAGGTTTTACTTCAAACGATCGTTTATTTATGCACTTGAACTGCCATATAAAGTTTCTCTGATATATTTACTTTTCCCTAATTCATATTACACATTGATATATGATTTGGGAGAATAATCTGATGAGCCGCAGCCTTGCTGAATATGAATAGGATCTTCATAATCATGACATGTCACAAAATATGTTCTAATTCAGGGTTGTTACTTTGTACACAGATTCAAATTTACCTTAAACTTATGATTAAAACATTAATTATGCACGAACGGTACAATTTTTTATAATCAGAGGCCCGATCAACAACATGAAGTATGAGACTCATACTTCATACTCATTGAATTCATTGAATTCATTCATACTACCTATGTAGACTCATTATTACAATGACGAATATTTATTTTCTATAGATGAAATATATAACGAATCTGTTGAAATATATCGTACATGTTCAGAGATAACCAACTTTCAAGGTTATTGAGACTGTCATGACTGCCACGTAATACAGTATATGTATATTATGTAATCGTTATATGCTTCTATCACTCCTGACATTCTTAATGAAAGTTCCAGCTTCATTAATTTATGAAATTGTTGTTGCATTCAAAATAATACGAATGCATAATACGTCAATTAAGAAGTTTTGTCGAAATAAACGTAATAAATTAGGTTTCCAGGTAATCAAATGGCAGTATTATATTAATCCTCTGCCCTTCAGAGCAGAGAAAAAATGTTCCACTGAGAAGAACCATTGACTAAAATTTAAGCATGGCTAATAAATGAAAAAATTAATGAATAATGAAAATACTGTTGGAAAATAATAGAGGATTGAAACACGGCAGTCGGATGTAACTGCTCCTGTTTTTGCGGTCATGTGGAGCAGGGCTCCCAGCCAATAATTTGAGAAAAACTTAGATGGTTGCTGAAAAATACCCAGATTCTGCAGATTTTGTGGGAAAAAACCCAGACAACAAATTTCATCAAAAACATTGTAATTTTACTTACTTCTGATGGAATTATAAGTATTCGGCTGCTGCTAAATTGATGTTCTCTCTGTTTTTTTTTGTTTAGGACGCTGTTCATATCGTATAGATAGCAGGTTTCATCTACAACGTCTTTCACCAACTCTTGTTTCGGCTTCCATGTGTAGCAATTCTGTTGGCTGCTTCCTCGTAAGAAACTGCCGTGCTAATAATCTTTCTGTCACTGTCTCAGTTTTAAGCGAGTTTGTTTGCTTCGTTTTAACGTGGTTAACGAGCGAAAAAATCCTTTCAACACAAGCGGATGAGTGAGGCAATATAGTTAGATTTGTCAAAAAACTAGACAGAGTTGCAAACTTTGGTCGATTCATCCCGTCTTTAATGTTACGCAGTGAATGCCAGAAGCCAGGGACTGAAGTGTAGTTTAAAGATAAACTGCCGAAAGAGCCTCCATTCATCGTCGAGTTTGTCAAGAACATCCTCAGGAACAAGATGGGGAAAATTCTGTGCTACGTTCACTATGGAACTCGGAGATTTGGTAATATCTCTTGAGGCAGCGGGGTCTAATATATATAAATTTGCAACTATGCCATCTTCTTCTAATGGGAATCTTTTTTTGATTTGTAAGCACAACTCATTGAACTCAACTAAGAATTTCAAACAGCCCGTTTTAAATCTAACGTGATTTTCCCCGATTGGAAGCAAGTATAACGCTCTCATGCAACGTCCACCCAAATACAAATCGTTAACATGCTCATGTAATGATTTATCACTTGGATCAATATCTGAAGCTCTTGTGGATTGAACTGCCTCTTCTCTTATGAATTAACTCAAAATGTCATTTTATTCAGAATACACCATAGAATATAACACATGAAGTCTGAAATTTTCTGATTGAAACTCAATGTTCAAAGGTACAGAAGCAACAGTAAGCTCAACGTAACGCACGACACAACTATAACTTGTCACTTGTCAATAGCGAGCGCGGTACTGTGCAGTGTGCGCCGAGAAGTTGGGAACCGTTGCTTTGACTGGTAATGAACGCATACAATACCAGTACCATCTCTTAGCTAGGGAAAATATACAGTCTGACGGTTAGAGCGTTACTCCATTCATTGTGTATTGATTGCATAATCTAATTTAAGGCATTGAGAATATTTCAATTATATTATTGGCTAAAATTAACTTCCTTAACGAAAAAATCCAGACCTTGCCATTTAAAAGAACAATCCACCCAGACACCCAGGGGACGGCAAAAAACCCAGATCTGGGTGGAAAAACCCAGCGCTGGGAGCCCTGATGTGGAGGTGATGAAAAACGTCTAAAACTGGTTTTGCCCGCCAGTGACGAGTGCGGCAGTGAATATATATACCAGTGCTTCCCAAACTTTTTCAGGCTGGCTCTTCCCTTGGCTCCCCAGTGAATTTCTAGCGCCCCCACACATACACATGTAAAAACGAATACCTCTTTCTAGATATTTAATACGCTGCAATTTTAAGAGAGTAAGGTTGAACACAAATTTGTATTTCAAATTCACAAATACAACTCCATTTGTTAAACCAATACATATACTTTTAAGCAGTTTTAAATGTTTCAGCTCTAGAAATTTATAGGGCGTCACGGACAAATTTACGACCGGACTACTGGCCGGTCTCACGACCAATCTCAAAATTCAATTATCAATGACTATATCTCAAACTAATGAACGCAGCTCGATGAAACTTGGAACAGGTATTCATTAGTTCAAAAACGTTAGTTCATTAATTCAAAATTAGTTCATTAGTTCAAAGAAACATCACTAAACGGTGATGTTTAGTTCGAGAAAATTGTTTAATTTTCACCTTCATTCGTGAGTTATGTGGCGATACGGGCCGAAATTCGCAGTGATCAAAGAATTTCTTCCAAACTACTAAACAGATTCAAACGAAATTTTGAATATACATTCCAACTACCAAGCAGTGATTTTTAGCTCCTGAAAATTTTTCGATTATGCCTTACTTTGCGAATTTTTTTTTATTTCACCGTCATTCGGCATTTCACACTTCCTTATTCGGCCATTATCACCGGGTAATTTGTCGCTTAAATTCGCGGTGATCAAGAAATTTCTTCTAAATTATTGAAAAGATTCGAACAAAATTTATAAATAAATACCTAACCTCCCAACGATGATGTTTAGCTCGTGACAATTTTTTTTATATTTTGCCTTCTTTCGCTAGTTATACGGATATACGGAGAAGCGACCGGCATTTCGACTGGCCGGTTTTACCAAGAACATAATCGAAAAAATTGTCAGGAGCTTAACATCGCCGTTGGGAGGTTAGGTATTTATATACAAAGTTTCGTTCAAATCTGTTCGGTAATATAGAATAAATTTCTTGAACACTGCGAATTTAAGCACGTATTGCCGTTTAAATCACGAACGAAGGTGAAATGAAAATAAACACGCGAACGAAGGCAAAATCGAAAAAAATTTCACGAGCTAAATATCACCGTTGGGTCCTAATAAATACGTCCGTGTACCAAGTTTCAACGCGTTACGTTCGTTATATAGTTTGGGATATATTCCGTGATCATTGAATTTGATAATTGGCCGTGAGACCGGCCGTAAATTTGTTCGAGACGTAAAGCCAGGAGATGTTAAAAAACAGATCTGGGTGGAAAAACCCATCGCTGGGAGTCATGTGCCGCACGTGTTGTGTACAAATCGGCAAACAAACGTTCGAAGTTCTGACTTCGACTTCGGACTCCCGCCTTCATACCCGCTCTCTTCTTCCTCACCGCCCCCTCCCCATATCTTTCCACCACCCTCCATCCCCAGGGGGGCGGTACCGCCCACTTTGGGAACCACCCATATATACGGAGGCATAATAGGAGCTAGGCAGAGGTCATCCCATTAAAATGCGCTCATTGAAATCAGTACATACAACGTGATAACCAACTATTTGCTCCATGGAGTTATATTCAAGCGCAAATAAGTCTTTGTGTGTTTATAAAATTAACAGGGCTAATGGTTTGGATTTTGAATCAAAACTTGTTCGCAGCAGCCTTAACTCTGGATATCTGATAATTTACCCTCTAATACGTTGACAGATTCGTTCGTAAATAATTATGTCTTGATAAGATATTGACAGTGCAATCGTCCGATGCCTGCCTTCATCGTTGTTTTGTTTACAGTTATTGATGCTGTTATCAGTTTTGAGCACGGCTACTGCAGCCTGGAATTCAGGATACTTCACGAGTTCCGTCCCACTTCCTACTGAGAGATTCAAAATATTGTTCTTGTTACCAACCACTTTTAAGAGTCACATTTGGATGGCAGCGCCCTTGCTGGTCGACTTGGCTAGAAGAGGACATGAGGTAAAGATTGACGGGCAGCCATTGTTTAAGAATCGACTCAATTAAAATTCAATAGCTGGTTTTTAAATTGTTTTTTTAATTAAATGTATACCGAAAAAAACTATTTTGTGTCAAATAGTCTGTCATGATGATTACGATGTAAAATGTCAGTCTTTCAGGTATCTGAAACATTTTTAGGTGTGTCCTGTTCATGTAGGGTCATTTTGCAATACCACGCCATTTAATAGGAACTGTTTACACTGAAGTGTTCACCTGTTTGATGAGTATTTCCTGCAGTTCAGAGAATAATACTCCCCAAAATACGAATGAATATTATGATCATAGGAAAAACATTGGAATTGTGAACTATCTGATTTACTAAGTAAAAATTTAAAATTGAACGAGGATTTAAGCAAATTGAAATACATATCAACAATTAAAATTTTTGGTGTAAAAGTTGAAATGATATTTGGTTGAATAATGCCATTAAGTAATTGCGTGATTGATTTGAAATCCCACCTCATAGCTGGTCATCGTATAACACCATCAATAGTTTCATCGCGACAGGTGGAGTGAACTTAACCGTTGCAAATCTATACTCTCAAATATTACCGAGGGCTGCGGAGACTTGAATTAGTTACATATTTCCCCTCAGGTGCACATGTTCTGCGACTCTAGGAACCAATTCAAAATCCCTAACGTGACGTGCATTAATCATGGCGTTAGACTTTCCGCGCCTGAAGATGTCGACACGTTTGACGTCGTGCGAAATCCCCTTTCGCTTCTGAAAACTTTCACTAATGCGGCAGCAAACGATGCAGAGAAAATGTTCAATTCAGACATAACCATGAAAGTCTTCGAGCGTCGGGGAGAATACGACTTGATCGTGATTGATCACTTGGGCTTGTCGGTAAGTTTCTCTCAATAACTAATTAAAGGATCAATAAATCATCAGCTTTCGTGAAAGTTACTTTGCTTTAGAGTTCAACTTTGTTCCTTTTAAAACAGAAAGTTCATGAAAAGTTTGAATGTCATGAAAACATATGTTTGATTTTTAAATTCGATATGATATGCATTTTTTTGAAAATTCTTAGAGGCTCTCGTAAATTCAAAACACCAATTTTTCTGTTCCAATGCGAAGGTAAGTTAAATTATTAACTGTTTTTAACATGATTTTTTAATTAGTAAATCTCGACGCACGATGAAATAGTTGAGCCCAACGAGCCGAATGGCAAAGTTACTATCGCATGTGGGTTGAATTTACTGCATTTTAGATGCATTTAATTTATTGGTTGTAATAAATATATTTTTTTGTTCCCAACCATTTACCGCTAATGGGCTATAATGGGTGATATGTTTTTAGGACTATGTTTTAATCTCTTCCTAGAAAATTTTGCCTTATTTCCTTAGTTTTTGGAATCTGTAAGGTTTGAAGAGGTGATAGAGCTGGTCTCTGAAATGTTTTAATTCGAATAAAGATTTGCTCAAGTTACGCGTACTAATGCTACTATCTCTGCTTTTAGGTTCTTCGCTAATGTGCTATTTAATCAAACTACTGATGAAAATACTTCGATAACATTCTATTATTATATGTAACGTCATCACACTTGCAGATGTTTTACCCTTTCGCGCACGGCACGCCGTTCGCAATCTTGTCGTGCTCACCTCTCTTGCCATGTCAAAGCGCAAGCTTGGGGAACGTCCCAAATCCAGCTTTCGTTTCAAGTGCTCTCATGGAATTCAAGCAACCTTATGGAACTTTCGACCGGCTCAAGAACATTGTACTGACTTTGGCTCAGTGCTACGTTTATTGGGCGATCCACTCCCAATCAGAAATAGTGGTGAGACCCTTGTAAGCGCTTAATACATTAAAATATCAGCATTTAAATTAAGATTTTCGTGGTGTTCAATAGCAAGAAAGGAATTGGGCAGGGTATCATCATGGATATTCCAACTATTCAAAAAAGAGACATATAAGAAGTGTAACATTAATTAATGGTCACGAGGAATTCCGTGTTTCTTTTCTCAACCTCGCTGCCATGGCACTGAGACAGGAAATCATAGATGTTAACAAATGATGAAAAGTATAAAATTCGTTGAAATTTTAATCGAACGAACATGTCAACTTCACATCAATTCCTAGACACCGAGATCAGCCGAAATCCTTAATCGCAATGAATTTCTTATCAGTATTGCCAGTTTTGACTCGATTAAATTATTAGTTTATCTACATATAAAGTGGCATGCGCAACGGAGAATTGAACTCATTTGATCTATACAGATGAGCGAACGCTTCCCTTGGCTTCCTTCATTCAAAGAAATCGAACGGAATGCGAGCTTGCATCTCGTGACGTCCAGCATGGCGTTGGATGGTCCGCTGGCTCTGCTACCTAATCAGGTGCCCATCGCCGGACTCGTGCTGCGGCCGCCACAACCTCTACCCAAGGTTTCTTACTTACTACTTTATAAGTACATGAGTAGCGTAAATAGAAACAAGTTACATAGCAATAACACAATACGAAGAAATAATAACATTACAATAAAATTACAAGAAAAACGTTCATTTGTATGTTGGCAGTCCAGCCATATAAACCGCGAGTGGATATATTCTGATATAAAGAACATTCCTTCTAATGTTATAACGGGTAAATTTTCCGATCTCCAGACTATTTAAGTCCTCGGTGTCCTTTGTTAACAGAAATTATCAGTTTACTGTACTTCATTAAAAGGATTTTTGAAAATAATACAGTTACTTTCACAGCATTTGAATAACTTAGCCAATAAATTTTAATTTCAGGACATATTAGACTTCATGTCCGGCAACACGTCGGTTATATATATTAGTTTTGGTGTATCGTTCATACGTAACGATTCGATTCCTCGAGACAAAAAAGATATTCTGCTCTCAGTCTCCAAGAAGCTTCCCTACAAAGTCATAATGAATGTGTACGGACAAGCAAGTGGTAGGAGCGGTAATGTTCTCCTTACAGGCATGGTACCTCAACAGGATATTTTAGGTGAGTTCTAGCACATAGCATTTTCAAGACCGTTCATTGAATGTGGCGTTCTTTGTCAATAAATTCATTGTTTGCATAGGTGTAAGAATCTTTGAAGATACAGAAATGTTTGAAGGCTTTTGAATATTGATAGCTTCTCGTTATATCTACGCAGGAGAAGTAATATAAATTTACATCTTTGTACTTGAAAATCATTTCACTTTTAATTCTATATGGTTGTTCGGTGACGTGTAATTATTGATCAGATAATTCATTGATTTAAATTTTTAGCAAGCCGAACATAAATTCAGATAACGTTGATTGATCACAAGGCAGTTTCAAGGAAGTAATTTCAATGTATTAACGACTTTTCGAATGCAACAACATACATTCTCAACTCTCAAGAAGCATTCTATAATAAAACTTCGATGGACCTCTAAGTACATGATACACGTAAATATGATGCAACACGAAAATCTGTAACAAAAATCACTCTGAAACAATCTCAGAATAAAGAAAATCGGGTCGTAATGAGATACTGGAGTCCAATCCGTAGAGATGAAGGCTCCACCTATCCTCGGTCAGATGTTGTTGGGCCACTACATGATGACGATGCTGGTGGGTTCCTCCAGCACAGAGCGTTTGTCGGTGTGGTTGTGAGCTTGTCTGTCGTGGTTCACTTATCCTCCGGGTTGAGGGTAGCTAATGAGACAGCGGCTCGACGTCCTGGTTGTTAGTCAAATCTGTCCAATATATTCCAAATCATAAAGAAAGTCTACAACATTCTATGAAGCAAAATTTATAGACTACACTAAAGTTACAGACTGCGAGGCATTTCAAATCAGAACATACATTTTTCCATAGCTTAGTCTGTTCTTGAACGCGTTCAAACTCGGAGTGCCAACAATGTAATCAGGGAGGCTGTTCCACATGTCGGTGATTCGAAGCGAGAAGAAATGTTGTCGCGTAGACAAGTTGCAGCGCAGTTTTTTTAGTTTATAGCCATGGTCCCTGGTCTTGGTTCTTGTTTCAAATTCCAGTAATCCTTCGGGGACCTTGTATAAACCATGAGTATACTTGCATACTTCAATGAGGTCCCCACGACGACGTCGATAACTGAGGCTTGGAAGCTTCATAATCTTTAATCTTTCTTCATAGGACTTGCCCCTCAAACCTTGAATTATCCTTGTTGCACGTCTTTGAAAATTCTCCATTTAATTTTTTTCCTTTTCAAATCTCGGTGATCACACAACATTTCCAAACTCTAGCTTCGGGCGCACGACAGCAGCAAACAACTGCTTCATCGCTTCTGCACCTAGGAACTTGTAAGAGCGTCTGCTTAGACCAAGAAGTTTGTTGGATGTATTAGCTTTCAATTCAACATGCTTAGAAAATTTCAGCTCCTTGTCGACATAAACTCCGAATTCTTTTTCCACACTAGACTTTTCAATCATTACTCTGTCTCTCGTTGTAAACACGTCTTCTCATACTGTAATCTTGCTGTTTATTGTTCTTCCCGAAGTGAAGTACTTTACACTTGTCAGCATTAATTAAACCGCAGCTGCAAGGTATCAGCCCAGCTAACTAAACTGTCAAGGTCATTTTGCAATTGTGCTTTATTTGACGCATCCTTCACTGTATTATAAACTTTTGTGTCGTCGGCATAGATGGAGCACACGCTGGAGACTACTTCTGGCAGATCGTTTATAAAGGCAACGAACAAAATAGGCCCAAGAACGCTTCCTTGTGGCACGCCACTGCGCACTGATGCCCAGTCTGATACGGTTCCGTTAATACTCACACGCTGTCGTCTGCCGACTAGAAAATCCCTGATCCATTGGAGTACGTTTTCCTCAATTCCCAAAGATTTCACTTTATGCAACAGCCGCTTATGCCGAACTGTCAAATGTTGTGGCAAAATCGAAATACAATGCATCCACTGGCTCCCTCTCGTCCAGCAGGAGATTCCAATCGTCCAGCAGGAGAGTCCAATAAGTTAGTGGTGCAGGATCTACCGGCAATAAAACTATGTTGACAATCTGATGGGAGATGTTGAGCAGTCAAGTGATCGCTAATCGTATCCCTCACAAAAGGTTCCATTAGCTTACAAACAACACTTGTCAGACTGACTGGGCGATAGTTGCCGGGGGCTACTATTGTCACCTTCTTGAACAATGGTGTTACTTGAGCTTCTTTCTAGTCGGACGGCAAAGTTCCTTCGTTCAAGATTTTCTGAAAGAATACAGTCAATAGGCCGAACAGAACGGTTGTTAATTCTTTGAGCAATCTGGGATGAAAGTAGTCTTGTTCACATGACTTTTTGGGATTTAGAGCTTCCAGGCTCTTGAGAACCTCTTCTTCGTGTATTTCAAAAGCTGTTAAATTCGAGCCGATTGGGCGCTCCTCAATATCTGGAATACTGTTCAAGTCCTCATCTGTGAACACACTGCTGAAGAGCTGATTAAGAATGTTAGCCTTGCCCTCGTCAGAGGAAATCTTTCGTTGGTCTACTTTCAAATTAGATATACCGGCCTTTGACTTACACTTCGAACTTGTGTACAAAAAGAAGGCTTTCGGATTCTTTTTTGCATTTTTAGCAATATTTTTTTCACTGCAGTGCTAAATACTTTTTTAGCTTGATTTTGAGCTCTTGCATACTGGTTATAATCAGAATCGCTGCGAGTTTGTAAATAACGCTGAGCTTTTGCTGAGCCTTCACTGCACTGTTCATCCACTGGGACTTTTTGACTCCTCCAAGCGTAATGAGTCTTACACAGGCATCAACTGCAGACATAACCGTGTCTTTGAGAAATGACCATGAATCAGCCACGTTCATGTCCTTAATACAGTCCGAAATATTCGCCGCATTTATCGCTTCACGGAGTTTATGATAGTCGCGTTTCGCAAAGTTCAAACGTTCACGCTTCCGAAGCGTATTTTCTGCATGGCACTTAATACTGAAAAACAATGATTGGTGGTGGCTTTTGCCCAACGGAGCCTCGTGACGAAGCTCATCTATCATTGATTCTTCACTAGTAAACACAAGATCTAGAATATTTGGGGTCTGTTTACCCCTGAAATGGGTCAGCTTGGTGATGTTCTGGATTAAAAATGAGTCTTGCACAGACTCCAAGAACAGGGATGCTGGGTGATTCCCATCTTTTGGAGAAGATTCATCTGCCCAGTCTATTTCTGGATGGTTAAAGTCACCAACGATCAACGTAGGTATGCGACCTACTGAAAGTCATGCTCGGTAAAAGGCTGTTAATTACTTTATTGTTATCAGAGGAGCTGTTAGGTGATCTATAAATGACCTCTATGAGGATGCTATCTTTGCCTTTTAGAGTAAGTTCGCACCACACTGATTCTCTATAGCTGATTGATGCTCTGCAGATAACTTAACTTGCTGGGCCCCATAAGAGGTTCTAACCCATCTCTACTGCACTGCTCTTCATTTGAGTTACGAAAATAATCAAAACCTGGCAGCTGAAATTCAACAGGTACAATTTTCCCACCGTGATTTTTAGGGAGTGTTTCTGTAATACAAATAATGTCTAAACACTCGTTTGCGATCACTGTTAACAGTTCACTTTTTTTGTTCAAAACGGAATCCGAGTTCGTGTAAAAATATTTTAAAACTTTTTGTACACTTTCACTTTGATGTATGTGGTTACTTCCTACATTATTTACAGGCCTTGAACTCCGGACATCATTCTTACTAATTACTTGTCCTCCATCTCCTCTGACTGACAGTGAGCAGCCGGTGTTGTCCTGACAGCTTGGAAGTGATTGACCTGATTTTCCGTGCATTTCCCTCTGATTCTCTCCTGCCACTTCTTGCGAAAAACCGCCCTCTCTAAAGGGGTGGAATCTTTCTTTACAAAAACTGACTTGTAATAATCGGATTCTCCAAGCTTTCTCGCTGTTTTCAGCACTCTCCAGACCTGAGCAGAATCCTTAACTACCAGATTTTCTGAACTCTGAGATTCTTTCAGAGGGATTTTCTGGTTCCAGATTTTCCTGTTGTATTGTATTCACGTGTATTATGTACTTATTTCGAGGAAAATTTCATTATTCGATTCTTCTTACTGTATCAAAATGAATGTTGTTGCATTAAATGTGAATAAATTGAAATTACTTCCTTACACCTTCCTTTCGATTGACCGTCACCTGAAGAATTGTTCGGTTACTTGAAAAGTTAAATAAATGAATTCTCTGATCATTAATCGCACGTGGGTAAACAAGCATATTCTGCCATCCAATACTAATTCTATTTGGGTACACAATTTGATAGATGTATTCTCGTACACAAATTTCCTTGTAGGATACTTTTTCCCAAGGTCATCCAAAAAAGTAATTGCACGATTGTTGCATTTGCTGAAATATTGCATAAAAATGATCATTGTTTGATTTATTACAGCGCATCCAAACGTGAAGCTGTTCATTAGCCACTGCGGTCTAGCAGGCGTCGACGAAACCGTTTACCACGGCGTGCCTGTGATCGCCCTCCCCGCGGCTCCCGAGCACGGAGCCATGGCGGGGAAATTAGTGCTGGCTGGTACAGCCATCCAGCTGTCCTGGCTCACCCTAACTGAGGAGATCTTACGTGACGCCGTTATGGAAATAATGACCAATTCAAGGTAAAGAATCAAGAGTTTTATAATTTTATTTATATTTTATGTTTGATGCTTGGCTTTCGATAAATATAGGGGCTGAGTGAGTGCGTATCCACGATACGATTACCTTATCTCGACGGAAAAATAGTTTTGGAAAAATACATATATGTTCAAATTTGAAATGCCTCGCTCCTTATCGAACCCGGTGGAAGTCTAGTAGCTACTTCAAACCATCGCCAGTCATGAAAAGATCCGGTCAAATGACACGAGTTTAGATCTATGAACAAGGCACGAAAAGGAAAAGAATCGGCGACAGGCCACATCAGGCCTACACTTCAGCGCCGACATCACTGTGTTATGTTATGTTATGTTAATTGGACTTCAAATTTCCTCCTAATAGGAGGAGAGTTGAGATGTAAAACGGTAAGCTTAAGGGGAGCGTCTGGCCCAAATTTTTGGATTTTGATTTTTCCAGGTTTTTAGTCCCATCTCAAAGCTGACATTCTGACCTATCCAACGGTACAAAAATCATCTCTGTACGTTGATTTATGCGTTCACGACAGATCCCAAAAGGGTGGGGGGTAGTGGAGTTCTTTAACATTTAAGATAGACGGAATTTCCCGGTAGCATGCATATATAGCTAGTCCAAACTGGATGTGTTTCAGTTATCCACCTGCAATCGTACGGGAAAGTTTGCGCTCCGTTGTTCACACCATCCTTGACAGAGATTGATCTCCTGTATCTTCTAGTCTTGCTACCTTGCACCCATGAATGCCGATTTCGAGGCGCCCAGGACTTTGTCGGGCTCTACTGAACAATCACACTTATTGTCACTGGAAAACTATCTCCTCCTACAGTTTTGAAGCTACAGCAATGAGAGATATACCATTCGATTTGCAAATAAAAGATCTAAAGATTTGTGATTCACTTTTTGTAATTTCGTTATAGTTTTTATTCTATTTAGAAAAAAGGAAGGGGGCGGGGGTGAAATCGAGAAATTATCTACAAATTTACAAAAAAGCTCCCCCATCCACAAAAATTTGAATTTCGAAAAAATGAATGACCAATCGATAGATATAGTCTTTACGCATCGAATGATATGCGTCTCGATGTGGTAGCTTGAAAAATTCAAGGAGATAGTTTTTTACAGTACCCCTTTTTCGGCCGTTTTCTAAGAATTTCACGTTTTCTTTCATTTTTTTAGAAAAAATTACATTAATAAAAGCTGTCTATTTTTCGTTTAACATATGTATACCAAGTTTCAAAGTGATCCGCTTGTAAATAGCCGAGATAAAATTTTGGCCAGACGCTCCCCTTAACATTAGATCAACAATAATATTAAAATAGGAATTAATAACTTCAGTTCTAAAGACGCACAAAAGATTTTTTATTATTTTAAACGAGAGTCAATTAGCGCATCTGAAAATGACCGGTAAAAAATATGGGTTTGAACGGGTCTCTCTTTGATAAGCACTCATTATTTTCATTATTATTAACAACAATTAACGTATCATTAAATGATACGTAAATTATCTAGTATTCACATTGTAAATACTTGAATAAGTACTATCAGTCGATCGATACTGCATCTTGGATTTCACTTGTTGCGGCCGAAATATAGATTAATCTGGGATGTATATCTGATAATGTATTGTTTGAGATTTCATTTAAAGCACTTTTATGATCAACGTTGTCAACTCAAAGAAGTTGTTAAGAGTCACACTGCGGTTGCAAAATGCTCTAAGCATTATTAATAATCATTTCATTGCAGTTACGGGGAAAATATGGCCTTCGTATCCCGGGTGTTCCGGGACCAAAAAGACACGGCGCTAGATCGCGCAGTGTTTTGGACCGAGTATGCAGCTCGCTTCCGGGGAGCGCCGCACCTCAAGTCCCCAGCGCGACACCTGTCCTGGATAGAATTCCTCAGCCTTGATTTTATTCTGCTAGCACTTGTTCTATGTTACTGTGCATTTAATGTGTTTCTTAAGGTTATCCGGGCTCTGAGAACCAAATGTGTGGGAGACAAAAACGAAAAGGTAAAAATTACGTAAACTGTGTTATATATCAGTGTGATGAAGTTCAATCGTAGCGATAATAATCTCCTCCAAAATTAAGTATTAGCTCTAAAGAGTCCTTAAACTTGTATTAATTTTGTGTCTGTGACCTAGTTATACTTTTTCCATAATATGTACATAATAAGTCAGTATGCCCTAAATCAACGCACTCGAAATAAATTTATTATTGTTTCGGAACGCTGATTCATTAAGTTAGTTGAACAGATAAATACTTTGTTTGAAGCCTTAGACAAAAATTTTTGCGTTCATTTAAATCAATTCTTGATGTAAATGCAATTCTGAAGTAAATGTGCAATGCTCGCGGTAAAGATGGTAAAACGAATTCTCCTCATGATCGAAGTAGTCAGAAAAGATAACCGCATGCGGCAACCGTTTCATGAATCGCTTTACGTTGGTTTGCACTATTTTGTTCTAGATCTGTAAATACGCTGCGCGGGAAATCTATGAATTGACTAAATACCAAATGTGTATTTTCTCCACACAAACCATAATACATCATCTCAAAACCATACTTGTTTTTACTCGAGATCTTTCGTTCGTACATCATCACGAATTGAGTAAGCAATTTCAGTAAAAACAGCTCATAAAATTATATAAAAAACAGTACTTTGTTATTTCTGTTTTGATTTTACCGATCTCTGATAGACGTAGAAGAAAGACCTGGAACTGGGAACTGTATTGCTATATATCAATGTATAGAGTTCCAGAGGTAGGATTCTTTTTGTGTGTTTGCGCGTGAGTATGACTAGTATTTGCTTGATTTGTATAAATTAACCCTCTGTTTTCGTGCAGATAAAAATCACTGGCATTTTTAATTACTTGTTACTAATGCAAATAATAGTCATTGTTTACGTAAGCATGGCTGGAAGTTGTACACAGAGCATGGACTTGGTTGTGCATGAGATTTTTTAATGTGTCTAAGTTCCTAAATTATAGTGTCAACACAAACAGAACAAATCGAAACGCAAAAATTTCTCGAATTGTTACAGCAATGATGCAGCCAAGCCCTAAGCGACGCCAAAGCGTTCTCTTTAAACTAGATCCATTTTTTCGTTTGCCTGTCGTCGGTACAAAGTTTTAATTAAACCATTGCTTCAGGTGCTTCACTACAAAAATATTTGAGTGTAGATTGATTACGTCAGTGCTGATGGTGGTCAACCAGGTTTGCTTTTCCTCCGTCTCTCTTATGTTTTCCTCTGTTTACTTGAGTGAGCTGCAGTCGCAGACTAATTAAGCCGCTGATTGACACTCATGAGAACAATTTTTGTTTTCAATTTAAGAGCTGATGTTAGCCAAACGATTTGTAGTTTTAAAATATGCTATATTACTATCCCCTCTTGAAGTTGAACGTCTTTCGCCGCAAGTCCACTTGTATTTATTTTTACTGCTGCACTGGTTCATTGAACGGAATTCCAGTAAAAAAATGCAGAAATTTGGTTAATATAGCACTTTAAAGAAATTTAGCTCTCATCAAATCATTTCCTGCACGTATTGTACGTAAATTTCGAGAACGTCCTTGCGCGCAAACTGAACTTACTATATATAAGATATTCGGAGGATGTTCATTCAGTTGTTTAACTTTGTAGAAAAAAAGTAGATCACAGACATGACACAAAACTAAAGTCATTTCAAATGGTAACTTTCTGGCTTGAAGAAACACTATAAGAAATCAAGAAAAAAATTGTGCAGTCAGTAACGGTTATTTTTTTAGACCAAGTAGAGGGAAAAAAATATGGAATCACTCAATTCTAAGGAAAAAATTATGGAATCATGAAAAACAAAAGAACGCTCCAACACATCACTAGTACATTTTGTTGCACCATCTCTGGGCCTATATACTTTCAAAAAAAGTTAAGAGATCGCAAGTTCATCAGCCAATCATTGACTTCCTTTCAAGCAAAATCCACCAATCATAGACAAGAAAATAGAGCGTAAGTACTTATGTCCACTTAGTGAATTTTGAAAGTGTGGCCCCTGTGGTTTTTATAACAGCTTGCAGTCTCTGAGGCATGGACTTAATGAGTGACAAATTAACAGTACTCTTCATCAATCTGCCTCCAACTTTCTCTGATTGCTGTTGCCAGATCAGCTTTGCAGGTTGGAGCCTTATCATGGACCATTTTCTTCAACTTCCACCAAAGATTTTCAATTGGATTAAAATCCGGACTATTTGCAGGCCATGACATAACCTTATGAGCCTTTTTTCAGTGAATGTTTTCTCAGTTTTTGCTCTATGGCAAGATGCATTATCATCTTGAAAAATGATTTCATCATTCCCAAACATCTTTTCAATTGATGGGATAAGAAAAGTGTCCAAAATATCAACGTAAACTTGTGCATTTATTGAAGATGTAATGACAGCCATCTCCCCAGTACCTTTTCCATACATGCAGCCCCGTATCATCAATGACTGTGTAAATTTGCATGTTCTCTAAAAGACAGTCATCTTTATAAATCTCATTGGAACAACACCAAGCAAAAATTCCAGCATCATCACCTTGCCCAATGCAGATTCGAGATTCATCACTGAATATGACTTTCATTCAGTCATCCACAGTCCACGATTGCTTTTCCTTAGCCCATTGTAACCTTGTTTTTTCTGTTTTGGTGTTAATGATGGCTTTTGTTTAGCTTTTCTGTATGTAAATCCCATTTCCTTTAGGCGGTTTCTTACAGTTCGGTCACAGACGTTAATTCCAGTTTCCTCCCATTCGTTCCTCATTTGTTTTGTTGTGCATTTTCGGTTTTTGAGACATATTGCTTTAAGTTTTCTGTCTTGACGCTCTGATGTCTTCCTTGGTCTACCAATGTTTGCCTTTAACAACCTTCCCATATTGTTTGTATTTGGTCCAAATTTTAGACACAGCTGACTGTGAACAACCAACATCTTTTGCAACATTGCGTGATGATTTACCCTCTTTTAAGAGTTTGATAATCCTCTCCTTTGTTTCAATTGACATCTCTCGTTTTGGAGCCATGATTCATGTCAGTCCACTTGGTGCAGCAGCTCTCCAAGGATGCAGCTTGGTGTGATCACTCCTTTGTAGATGCCTACTAACGAGCAGATCTAATTTGATGTAGGTGTTAGTTTTGGGGATGAAAATTTATAGGGTGATTCCTTAATTTTTTTCCTCAGAATTTAGTGATTCCATATTTTTTTCCCTCTGCTTGGTCTAAAAAAATAACCGCTACTGACTGCACAATTTTTTTTATTGATTTCTTAAAGCCAGAAAGTTGCAATTTGAAATGACTTTAGTTATGTATCATGTCTGTGATCTGTTTTTTTTTTCTACTAAGTTAAACAACTGAATAAACATCCTCCGAGGCCGGTGATTCCATAATTTTCGCCAGGGGTTGAACATACTTCAAACCCAAATATACTGTGTCTGAATATTTTTGTTTGTATCAAGGATCAGCTGATGTTTGAAGTTTCATGTTTCTTTTGTCTGTCAATGGCCAGCTTATGTAGTAGAGAGTCAACTTTTGGCAGCGCTTGAAACGTCTAGTTTGAGCCACCGCAACGCTCCAACCAGAACTTAAGAGGAGTACGTAGTACGTTCCCTTGGCTAGATTTCCTGTGAAGCAGCTGGATAGTAATAGGTACACTGATCTCTGACTCTCATTTTCCCTTTAGAAATGTTTTTGAACTTAAATCTGCCAGACTAACATTTGATCATTTTGTTAATTCAAGCACATTTATTCATTCTTAGAATTTTATCAGTATATGAAAATATCTTCTAGCCATTAACTTACCTCGTGAATTGTTTTTATGCACCTTTGGCAGGGCCCGCGGGCAGAGACTTCTGTAAATTATGTATGTTGCTCATTTGGCCCGCTATAATGCTGCTGAAACCTCGTCAATTAATGCTACTTGCATGATAAGATGGGTTTATTTGTTTACAAGTTAATATTTTCAACATTATATTGATAGAAGAACTCGCTCAGATTGCAGCGGAAAGCACCTGGACTGACAAGCCCGTGTATTTTGTTACCCTCGATTATTAGAGCCATGGGCCTATTTTTCAATGCCGACACTTCTATTATATTTTGACTCAAAGTCATTTTAAAAAACCTTTAAAAAGTAAGAAATGACGAACTCTTGACCAATCAACGTAGCCATCATCAACGCACTGTGTCTGGATATATACCTTGATTGGTCTTATAATAAAATAAGCTCTAATAAACAAAAAAACTGTTTAAAAACAAGAAAATAATAATTTTCCAAGAATTTCCTCTACCTATAGTCTCAATTTGCACACGACAAAAGAAAACTCCTGTACATTGTGGGAAGAAAACAAGCGGAAACAATCTTCAATGTTGCATAATTAAACGCGCTAAAATGTAAAGCGAATAATTAAAACAAATTAATAGTCGTCATCTGTTATCGGTTCGATCCCACAGGAAAACGATTTACAAAATTATGATGGAATCGCTTTATTATTAGTTTCTACGAAGCAGTTATCGTGGCGTCTGGTTCAATCGAACTTCGAGGGCACGTTACCCATAAGTTAAGTAGCAAGCGAAAAATAAACAGACACAAGAAAGCATGTGAACGGATAAGAATGACTAAGCAATTGATTCATAGACTACAAAAATAGATCCATCTTTAGACGCCGACCGCACCACCAGCAACAAACGAGCCGATGTTACGGAAGCAGGTAGACTGTTCCAGGGGCCGGTTTATCAAAATTTCGTAACTTTTTGTACTTACGCACAAAAAGTTGCGTGTTGCGTAAGTACGCCCTAATTTTGGCATATCAAAACTTTCGTACGCAAGACTTATCTGAAAAGCTTTTATCAAAACCACCCGGCTAACTGACCAACCAGACCAACTCTGACCCGGCTAACTGACCAACAGAGGCTTAGAATTTGCTGTTCCTAGTTCCTGTTGACTTAGTGCGCCTTGCGCGTGAATGGTGTGTTTGTGGTGTTTGTGTCACGTCAGTGGCATCTTCGTAGACTGACTAGGGTGCATATGGAAAAATGAGTGAGACAGTGTCCAAATAGCAATGCACTTTTCGTCATTGTGATCAATAATAAAAATTTTTGCAATCAAGGCAAAAAAATCAAGGCATTATTCCCATTCAAAATTTTAGGAATTTTTTAGAGAACTACCCAGAATTTAGAACATTTTGTGGGTTGGAGTTGCGATTATCAGCTGAGAAAGAAAGGAATTTGTGCACGGAGCTAGAAAAATGGTTAGCTTGTCAACCTCCACATAATTTTGAATCAAAGAGGCATGAAGATATTCTTTTAGTGAATGATCATAAAACTCTTGGATAGGTATGAATATCAACATTTGCTTGTAAATTAAAACACAAAAGGAAGACAAATTTGCTTCTGGAATAAACTCAATTGAATTTTTTCCCAAAGCACCGTTTAGCACGATCACATATTTATATATTTGTCGAATTATTGACAAAACTATATCACAATTCACTGTGTTGTTAGTAAATCAATAGTTTCATATTGCTTCAACAGACAAAACTTGTACGTAACTCCACTTACG